GTTTGGCTCGTTATGAGTAGTATATGGGTGGCCTTGGGGTGGGAATGTCTGCACACTACTGCGTTCAGCTGACCGACCCCAAACCCTAAACCCTAAACCCTAAACCCTAAACCCTAAACCCTAAACTCCGGCCTAAGCGCCGCCAGCTTCCTTCGACTGCTCCCGTGCCGCACCTTCTCCGGCGACACGAGGGGCAGGGAGCGGCAGCACTTGCTGCAGAGGCAGCCCTCCACGTCCCCGCACTCTCCAAGTTTGCCGAGCTCCAGCTGTGTTTCTGGTAGCCGCATGGCGAGAGCTGGGGAGCGGAGGTGAGGCGGACTGCTGCGCTGACTTGAGTTCGCGAGAGGCTACGCAAGCGAAGAGCATGAACAGAGCTGGATTCCGCAAGCAACCACCCACTCGAGATGCCACGCAACCCGCACACGACCTCCGCTACTACCTATGATGGATGTCTCCACGATTTCATGTTCATCTCACATCAGTTAATATCAATATGCGGACTCCGCTGGAGGTTTACACGTCACTGGCGAAATCTCACGTCGGTAACTCCAGTGCAGTGTGGCTGGAATTTGCCATCTGCAAATCCCACGACCGTACTCTTCGGGAAGTATCATGTACTTTGGGGATTCGTCCACCCTCAACTTCGATCTTCTGTTCATGTTGGCACCAACTTAATACCGCTATTTCGTTTCGTTCTGCGGGCTGAGCTCCTGCTCATGCCTCCCATTTATGATCGTGAGAGGCATTCGATACAACAGCCTGTCCCCCATGTAGACACTCGATCCTACAAGCACATACTGACACGCATCAGTGCCGGGTTGGTTGCCAAATTTCTGGATCATCAAAAAAAGCGTTGATATGAGCCTTGTGAAGTATCTCTGTGGCAAGCAACCTCATCCTGGAAGGAAAAGCAAGTGTGCACCTGCGTGATCTTGTATGTTTGACGTGTTGTGGCCCCTCACCAGCTACCCCGCCTCCTCCGACGTGTTCTAGAAGAAGCGGGGCCCCGGGCCTTGGGACCCCGGGTGGGGGGGTTACACCACCAACAGCAACAACATTCATAGAATCAACACGAGTAAGAGATATAGTATCACCATTGCCAATATTGTCATCAACATAAGAATTCACGTCGTCTCACTAGCGCCCTGCCTTCGTCATGGGTTTCGCCCAAAAGTATCACGTGTCTGAAATCCTACTCACCATCAACACCAGCGACTGCATCAGCCATCATCTGAGTCATTATTGCATTGGAAGGTAAGTGATGATGACGAGAATGATGATGGTGATGATGATGATGATAATGCTAGTGATACTAACTAGAAAGCGTGATTATCTCTAGCCGGTTATTGTGGTGTTAAGCAGAGCTCAATAAGGGCTTAATATGGCTTCAATGAGGGTGTACTGTGGCAGTAATAAGGGCTCATTATGGCCATACTAAAGGCTTAAATATGGCAATAATAAGATACTAAGAGTCAAATATTGCCATAATAAAGGGTTCATGTATCCATTCTGAAAGGTTAATGTGGCAATAATAAAGTCCTAATATAGCCGCGCTAAAGGCTTAATTCCGTCATATATGATATTAAAAAAATATAATGGAGTTTAGGTTGTAAACCCTAAACGGAGTAGGTCTGGGTGGTGCGCCGCCTCATGAACTGCGCGGGGTGGGAAAAAGGATCGGGCCGCCATAAGCCGGCCGAAGAGCAGCCTTGGCTGCAAGCGCGCCGTCCGCCGCAAGATCCACACAAGCACTGACGGCCGACCCGTACCCGGAATTAAACAACTTCGGTGAAAAAACGCAAAACCCTAAACCCTAAACCCTAACCCCTAAACCCTAAACCCTAAACAAACCCTAAGCCCTAAACTCCGGCCTAAGCGCCGCCGCCCTGCTGGCGGCGGCGCGGCGGCCAAAGCGCCCCTCGCGACTTTTGCGACTCGCTCCTTACCCGGGTTGCATGCCTTCCACGGTACAATACAACTAGCACGTACGTGGCGCCACAAGCGTGAACCTGTTCTCTTTTGGGACAGGCCTGTCCCTGGCGTACGCCAACACTACAATAGAACATAAATAATACCACAAACCCTAACCCGGTGCTCCTGGATGACGCGCTTTTGGCCTTGGACATGGCTTCCGGAAAAGGAGCGGACTCTGCAAAATCGACAAATTTTGGGCTTTTGGCCTCCATTTCGGTGGTCCCAGAGGCCGGAAATCCAGGAAATCCACAGGAGCCTTGGACATGGCTTCCGGAAAAGGAGCGGACTCTGCAAAATCGACAAGTTTTGGGCTTTTGGGGTTCCCTCCATTTCGGCGGTCCCGGAGGCCCGAAATCCAGAAAATCAAACACGGGACTCTACAAAATCGATGGGGTTCCCTCCATTTCGGCGGTCCCAGACGCCGGAAATCCAGGAAATCCACAGGGGTCCGGGAAATGGCTTCGGAAAAGGAGCGGACTTGGTGAAATCGACCGGAAACCCACAAAATCCAGGGGGCCTTCGGACATTGTGGGGTGTGATATATAAAAAAAGAGTTTAGGTTCTAAACCCTAAAAGGAGTAGGTCTGGGTGGTGCGCCACCTAAAAAAACGCCGCGGGGCGTCGGGCCGCCAGAAGCCCGCCGAGGAGCAGCCTTCGCTGCAAGCACGCCGTCCCCCGCAAGATCCGCACAAGAACTAACGGACTACCCGTCCCCGGCAATTTAGCAATTTCCGTGAGCAAGCGCGAAACCCTGAACCCTAAACCCTAAACCCTAACCCCTAAACGCTAAACCCTAAACCCAAACCCCTAAACCCTAAACCCCAAACCCCTAAACCCCTAAACCCTAAACCCGGACGCCCAACCGATCCGGCCTGGTTGGCAGGATAGAGCCAGCTTGCTTCGTCCATGTAGGGGTTGGCCAGCTGCGTGTTTCTTGGTGCGAGTTCATTACATCTTATATCTTAAGCCATCTATATGATATAGTATATAATTGTGAGTCCAAGTATACATGATATCTTACATCTTATGCCTTTTATACGATATACTATATATGAATGGACTGAGCAGAGTTGCGGGCTCAAGGTTCACCTCCACTCCAAACCTTTCGATGACCCTGAACCCAAAACCCAAACAGCTACACTGACCGCCACAACGCTGGAAGATGGCATAGGGATGGGATGGCGATCGAGATCCTGATGTTGCAACTTCCTGGCAGCTACTGATCACCTGGGTTTAGGGTACAAGGTTTAGAGTTCAGGGTTTGGGCCTCTAAACCCGAAACTACCCAAGCACTTAACGCCTAACGCCCAAACCTTGAACACTGTACTACTGTGCCAAAACGGTTGCACACATAGTGTATTCATAGGCCTCCAAGAGGCAAGAACACACTAAGTTCCAACATAAAAGCTATGGCAGCGCCAGAACGTACAGAACCCGGCGCCTGCAGCACGCATGGTCGACGGCTTAAGTGGGAACGAAAATCAGGATGATGAGGCGGAGGAGGAGGATGAGGATGAGGATGAGGATGAGGATGAGGATGAGGATGATGATGATGATGAGGATGAAGATGAAAACAATCTTGATGATGATGATGACGATGATGATGGTGAAGGTGATGAGGATCAACCGAATGAAGAGGATGAAGAGGATGATGAGGATGAGGAGGATGATGATGAGGGTGATGATGATGATGATGATTATGATGATGGTCATGATGGTGCTGATGAATGGTGACGACCATCATCACCGTCATCATCATCATCATCATCCACACCCCCGAACAGTAGGGTCTTGATGGCTGAGAGCATTCTTAGGGCTTCCGCTTTGCTTTGCAGGCATCAACTTTCAGTGACAAGCCTAGATGACCCTCAGCAACAGTCTGGCTTCCGATTTAGGCAGCGGGTTCTTGAATCTCAAACACTTCAGGTCTCAAGGTTTAGTTCAGGTGCTCTTTCCTCTCCTAGAGACTTCAGTTTAGGGTTTAGGGTTTCGGGTTTAGGGTTTCCCTTGGAGAGAGCAGCCAAGGTTCATCATCCACGTCATGCTGCTGCGGTCAATGTCTGAATGGTAGCCGGTGAAAGCGGCTGCTTCATTAGGCGACGTCGTCACATCCAAAAGGTCCTTGCCGAACTTGATGTGGGCCTGCCGCTTCTTTGACAAGACAACCCAAACCACAAGCCCTAAACCATGAGCCCCTAGACCGTTGATGCAACCCTAAACCCCCCTAGACCCAAAAGCACAACAAATCCCTGGCCCTCGACGAAATTCATCCTTACTTGTCGGGGCTTGGCCTTACTAAACCCAGTAACATGGGGCCTGTACATATAATTATTGCATAGGGACCATCAGGGATATGATTAGTATGACTATCTTTATTAGTATCAGTACTGCTGGTTATTATTCATTATTACTATTAGTATTGTTATTATTGTTATTATTGGGCGCCACGCTTCCACAGATGGGATGGCGTTGTCAAGCACTTGCGCCGGATTTATCGAGAACAGGTCGGGATTATCAGGCGCGAAGTGGGGGGCTTTTCAGGCACATGGAAAAGATTTTTCAGGCATGTGCAACAGATTCCCAAACCCTGTACCCCAAACAAAACCTGCAAATGTAAATGATAATAATTCTCGCGCATGCTCTTGATAATTCTCCCGCATCCCTTTGATAAATCGCGAGCTTGTCTCTGATAAATCTCAACCCTAAACCCTAAACCCAAAACCCTAAACCTCAAATAAAAGCCCAAAGCCATCAGCCTGGGAATGGAAGAAGCGTGGGTAAATCGGCGTCTTCTGCTTGCCGAGATGGATCCGGTCTCGGATGAAGCCGTAGAGCATGTAGTCCTCTCGCAACACAAGGCTTTAAAACGCTGAAGGGTTTTGAGGGGTGTAAGGTCTGGGGTATAGGGTTTGTATGCAGTCCTCTCGCCACAGAAAGGCTTTAAGGCTGAGGTGGGGTGAGGTTGAGGGTTTAGGGGACGTTTTGGGTTTGTGTGCCGTCGTCCGCCCGCAAGAAGCTTCAAGGCAAAAGGTTGAGGAGGGTAAGGTTAAGGGCTTAGGGTTTCTATGTAGTGGTCTCGCAAACAGCTTCGAGGCAAATAGTTGTGCGGGGGTTAGGTTTAGGGTTTGGGGGTTTAGGGTTTAGGGGTACCTAAACCCTAAACCCTAAACCCTAGGAAGCTAGGAAGCTTGTGTCGTCGGCTCCTGGAATGTATGTTATCCAAATGCTTCCGGAAGGTTCGAAGCTCAAAAGCTCACATGGGCAGTGTTCTGAACTAGGGTTCCTTTTGGGATCCTTTGCATTCGGGTGCCGTGCTGCTTTGTGGGGCCTAAAAAGGGACCCTACGGTTGATGATATAAATCCTGCATTACCCATAATCGGGAATATACCAAAATTCCCATAGTTTAGGATCCTTAAGGTAATGCAGGATTTCTATCATCAACCGTTAGGGTCCTTAAGGTAATGCAGGATTTCTATCATCAGCCGTAATTCAGAGAACTACCCATATGCCGAAGCCCCCCCCCGCCCTAAACACTAAACCCTAAACCGGAAATCTCCGACCCATGATCCTCCATCTCTGCCCCAAGCCGCTGCAGGTTCAGGGAGCTCGTCTCAAAAGCCCTGACGGAACCCCAAAGTACCCCAAACCCTAAACACTGTAACATCCCAAAACCTTAAACCCTAAACCTTGAATTCTACCTAAACCCTAAACCCCTAACACCCTAAACCCTAAACTCTAGGGTTATCGAAGCCTGAGCCCTCAGATCCGCTCCCCGCAGAGTTGCTTCATGATTTCTTGCAGCACGCTCGTGAAGGCGTCGGAGTACTGACTCTCCTGCGCTGAAAAAAAGTGGGGCTTCGGGGTTTATTACGGGGCTTCTGGGGTGGCTCATGGGGTTTAAGGGTTTCTGGGGTTTAGAGGTGTAGAGGTTTAGGGTATGCTGCGATGCTGCGCCGCAGCAGAGAAAGTTATGCAACATGGAGCTCTCGAGTCATCGGTGCTCTGCGAAAGGCGGCAAGTAACGTCCCGCGTGTGGATGCGGGGTGGCGTCTCCGGTCGACTTGCGAATTCGAGGTCGAGCGGCATAAGCGCCGCCCACCATCCTAGGTGGACGGCCTAGATAAGGCTACTGTTTAGGAAGTGCCTCAGAGCACCTTATGGGTTTTGAAAAAGGGAACAGGCTTTAGAGTGTCCATTTGAGTTCTACAAGATTTGTAGTAGCAAGGCTTGCTCCAGCTTGAGAAAGCTGTACAGAGCTTCAACAGAAGTTTACACAAATCCTTTGACGGCTTCATGTAAGAGCCCGCAATAGGTTTTGGGTGGATGTGCAGGCTGGGATATTAAGCTTGAGACCCACAACAGCGCGTAGCTGGGTTTGCCAGAAGCACCGTCACCACATGTTTCAGAACTCGCGATAACCTGCTTTCTTCTACGAGTAGGGTCAATATAAGCCCTAAACCCCTAAACCCTGAACCCCTAAACCCCTAAACCCTAAACCCCTAAACCCCGAACCCTAAACCCAGAAACCCCTCAACCCAAACCCTAAACCCCATGCAGCTTAGGAGCTAAGCTTCTCGGCAAAGGCGGCTAAGGCTGAGGTTTTTTTGTTGCTGGAGCTTCGAAATTGCCTTTTAGGGCTTCATAGGAAGGGGGGTGTTGGGCAGAAAGTATCCGAGCCTTTAAACCCTCACTGAACAATTCAAGTAAGGCTTTGGCGGGTATACTGTACCTAGACCCCAGAGAACCCGAGGTTCTTAAGGGTCCAGGTAGTGCAACATAGCCAAAAAGTTCAACATCTCTGTGGCTGTATCACTACGAACTGCTCAGACCCTCAACCCTAAACCCGGACCATTAAACCCGAAATCCTGAATGCTTAAAACCGAATAGCTTAAACCCTAAACCCTAGACGTGCAAACCCGAAACCCAAAACAATACATGCTTGTAGTAGAAGCCCGAGAATTTGAGCATTCTTGCCTTCATGCCCCTAAAGTAAAGCAAGAGGGATCCCAGCACGAGTCATCCACAAATCCATGTTCCCAACTTTCTGAGGTACGCGTTTAGGGCTTGAGGTTGCTTTTTTAGCGGCCGCCTCGGGTTGTGTCCTAACTTCACCCCAGGGGCTTTGGGGGCAGCCCGGAAGGTGTAGGGCTTGGGGTTCGAAGGCTCGGGTTCAGCCTTTAGGAGCTTTGGGGGTTTAGGGTCTAAGGGTTTAAGGGTTTAAGGGTTTAAGGGTTTAGGGTTTAGGGTTTGGGCTTTAGGGGGCTGTTGGGATTTCGGGCGTCGGATTTCGGGGGGGTTGAGGCTTCTGTGGTTTTCGGGTTCAGGGTTTGGGAACCAAGCTCTCAACGCAAGAGCAGGCAGGATCTGAGGATTTTGGGCTGTGGGATTTGGTTGAAAGGGTCTCTGAACTGCAGGAATCAACCCCATAAACCCCGAAAGTTAAAGGAAACTACAGGTGGGGCGTTTAGGGTATATAGGGCTTCCATAAAGCTTCTATAAGGCATATAGACCTTCTATAAGGCTCCTATAACGGTAACTACCCACCTGAAAATGTCCTAGAGAAAGAGCTGGGAGCCTGCTCAGCCGTGTCGGTAAGCTTCCGGACAGCTTTGCGCACGTACTTGCCATACTCCGTGTCCTGCTCACTCACGGCATGCAGCTAGACCCCCAAATAAACAGCATCTAACCCCCAGAGTGCAGGCAGTCGGGGCTTCTAAGGAAACAGCAGTCTTCAGCATGCTGAGAAGCCCGAAGTGCGCCTTCCACACACATATTCTGAAACCTGAAGCACTCACCCGCCACTACCCGAATTCATCACATGAGAGATTCGGAAAATACGGGACCCGACTAAAAACGTAGTAAGGAGCCCGAGGGACTCCTTTCATGGCGCACACGTACGTGTCCTCGGAAATCGCATCCGCTCGCTTCTGCATCTGGGGCAGGATCAGCTGGCGGAACGTCGAGAGAAATCCTGCGTTCTGCCGCCGGTAAGCATCTCTTGCCTAAACCCTAAACCCTAAACCCTAAACCCTAAACCTCTAAACCCTGGAAGTCAAGGTTTCGGGCATAAGACGTTGAAACTTTGGGCACGGATGCAGGGCCTAAAGGGGCTTTGAGTTCAGGGTCTTAGGGTTAATGTCGGAGTAGGATGTGCGCTCTAGCAAGCAGGGTATCGGGATGTTTCGGGACCCCAAAAAAGCATCGCAAGTAAGGATCCTGTAACCAGGATTCCATGTACAAACAAAGACTATACGCATATACTAAAGGAAAAAGCTCCAGACCAAACTTTCCGTTAATTCTGATCGACAACTCTCTTTCTTTAAGGGCCATATCCTTCGGATCCCTACCACAGTCCTTTTGAAGACAGGGGATATTAACTGGGGTGCTACATTATGCTAGAGAGTTCCTGAAACATGACTTGCTTTAATGTAGGAGCCGTCCAGAAAAGAGAGTATGGAAGAGGATTTGGGGGGTATGCTGCAGTAGAAACATGAAGTGAAGCTATAGCTGACTATTCAGGCCTCTATATATTAGGTGCATTTCCAGGGCTATGTTTAAGCATGCTCCATGCTCCAGACTCAAGATTGTGGTTCCGTTTAGGGCTCCTAAGTATCTTAGCACCCTCAGGTTCGGGTGCATCAAGAAGGACCATGGGTTTAGGGTTTAGGGTTTGAGATGACTTCGGCTGCAGATCATCAGAAGAACTTCCCCCTAAACCCTAAACCCCTAAACCCCTAAACCCCTAAACCCAAAGCCCAGCCGTTCCAAATTCGCGACGCTGCATGGGAGTTCCTTGCTGTGAGCCTTCTGCTGCCAGCAAAACACGAAAACCTAGACCCTCAGGCCCTAAACTTGAAGGAATGAAGTGAGATGAGGGAGTTCGAAGGCAGGGATGCAAGAATACCTACTCTGTTAAGAGTCCAGTGCTATACTGCGCAGGCTTTGGGCCTACAAGTAAAACCCCAAACCCGAAACCCTAAACCCTGAACCCCAAACCGTAGCCGTAAACTTTACACCCTACACCTTAAACCCTGAACCCCAAACCCCAAACCCTAATCCCCAAACCCTAAACCCCAAACCCTACACCCTAAACCCTGAACCCCAAACCCTAAACCCTAAACCCTGAACCCCAAACCCCATACCCTAATCCCCAAACCCTAAACCCTACACCCTAAACCCCAAACCCTAAACCCCAAACCCGAAGCCCGACACCCCAAACCCTACATCCTAAACCTTTTGCCGGCATCGGAACGTGGGGCGTGGAGTTTGGGAACTGGGCTTTCGCTTCGCAGTGTCGGGTTGAACACTGTTTAGGGCCAAGGGTTTTGGGAATCCGGGCCTGGTTTAGTTGATTTAGGGAGTTTAAACCCTAAACCCTAAAACCCTAAACCCCTAAAACCCTAAAACCCCCCTAAACCCCAAACCCCTGGAGGATTTGAGGGCTCATGGAAAAAAAGGACTGCTGATTCGAGGCCCTTGGTCCTGGCTCGACGCTGATGCGCTTGAACCGCTGACTGCCTAGGTTCCCCAGTAACCCCCTAATCATAAGGGCACCCTTTGTCCTAAGATTCGGCTTTAGTAACCCTAAACCCTAAACCCAGTAACCCTAAACCCTAAACCCTGTAACCCTAAACCCTAAACCCTATAAACAAGAAGACCCCCAAAGAAAAAAAGCAAAAAAGGGTACTACTCGGGAACCTGGCTGCACATGAAGGTGCTCATCTCGATGCAGTCCTGCAGTTCCGAGGGGTTTAGGGTGTAGGGGTTTAGGGTTAGGGTTTGGGGTTTAGGGGTTTAGGGGTTTAGGGGTTTAGGGGTTTAGGGGCTTAGGGGTTAGGGTTTAGGGGTTTAGGTTTCAGGGGGTGTTTAGAGTTTAGGGTTTCTTTAGGGTTCAGGGTCCCTTAAAATCGAGGTCCTACCACCTCGATCGGTTGCCGAGTTTGGCTCCCAGGCTTAAACTTTGATGCTGCCGACCAGTGGTAACGTTGGGTTCGGGTATTCTTTGGGGTGAAGGGCTTGGGGTTTAGGGTTTAGGGTTTAGGGTTTAGGGTTTAGGGTTTAGGGGTCGTGGAGGTGGGGATGAAGTGGAAGAAAGCTTTGCAGAGGGACCAGCAACAGCTAAGAAGAACTGGCAAGGAGCAGGCTGAAACTGCGTCCTCCGCGCTGATCCTTCAGTGGCTACGTAAGGGACGTACTTTGGAAAGCCTAAACACCATGTCTTAAACCGCTAACCTTAAACAGCCTTGAACCCTAAAGCCCTAAAGCCCCAGGCCCTTATAACCCAATCTCCAAACTCCCCGCGTGGTCCTGCCACTCCATCCACGTGCGGACCTGTTTGATGTCCGTGCAGTTGTTGAAATCCTGCTTTTGCTGGAGGCTACTTGGTCTACTTGCGGGTGAGATTCTGGATCTGCTTAGGAGCTTAAGGCTTAATAGAGGGGCCTGTATTTAATTACCTATACTGTACTAGTTTTTTTGTTTTGTTTTGGGAGGGGGGGGTCTCTTATTGTACCTCTAGTATAACTTACCCTAGCTATTCTAACTACTACAGCAAGGCCCCTACATTCTACTTTAAAGGAACTCGAAACCCCAAGCCCCCCGACCCTTGACCCTTGGCATGAAACTCGAAACAAACCCGAAAGCTAGAAACCCTAAACCGTTCCCGCCAAAACCTCAAATAGGGTTTAAGGGTTCAGGGTTTAGGGTGTAGGGTTCAAGGTTTAGGGGTTTAGGGGTTTAGGGTTTAGGGTTTAGGGTTTAGGGGTCTAGGGGTTTAGGGTCTAGGGTTTAGGGTTTAGGGTGTAGGGCCATAAATCATAAACCCTAACCCTAAAGCCCCAAACCCTAAACAGTTCAATTCAAAACTTCTAAGACCCGTCCTCCTCGTTGTAGACGAGTTTCCAGGTGCCTCCCAACTTTCCCAGACCGTCCTCTGGGCTGTGGGCTCAAGCACCACAGCTCATAATGAAGGCCCTTAAATTAAAGTGCTTTCAAACTCCTATGAAACCCTACATACAAAGGCCTATAAACGCCGCAAGCCCCTAAAACTGAGACTTCCTATCAACACCCCTATGAATCTCGTGAAAGCCTAAACCCTAAACCCTGAACCCCAAACCCTGAACCCTTAGACCCCAACCCCCAAGCCCCAAAAACCCTTCAAGGCCTAAGCCCTATAAACCCTAAACCCCTAAACCCTAAACCCTAAGCCCTAAACCCCAAACCCTAAACCCCCGAACCCTAAAACCCTAAACCCTAAAACCCATGGAAAACCCATGAAAACCCCATGAAAATAACCCATGGAAAACCCATGGAAAACCATGGAAGACCCATAAAAAAAACCCATGGAAAACCCAATGAACACCCATGAAAAACCCACGGAAAACCCATGAAAACCCATGAAATAACCCTGAAAACCCATGAAAACCCATGAAAACCCATGAAAACCCTAAACCCCTAAACCCTAAAACCCTAAAACTCATAAAAAACCCATGGAAAAACCCCTAGCGAACCCTTAAAGGAACCCCTTTAAAGGAGCCCCTAAAACCCATGGAAAAACCCAATGGAAAACCACCGAGGCTCGGGATCTTCCGGCCAGCGCGCCACCCACGGGGTGCAGTCGTCGTGGGCCCGCAGGAACTGGGATCCGCTAGAGCGGCCGTAGGGGCGAATTAGGGTTTAGGGTTTATAGGGGCTTATAAGGGTTTAAGGGTTTATAAGGGTTTAGGGTGTAGGGTCTAGGGTTTAGGGTTTTGGGTTCAGGGTTTAGGATTTCTAAGGGTTTAAGGGTTTAAAGGATTTAGGGGCTTGTAGGGTTTAGGGTTTAGGGTCTAAGGGTTTCAGGGTTTATGGGGTTTAGGGGCTTGTAGGATTTAGGGTTCAGGGTCTAAGGGCTTAAGGGCTTAAAGGCTTTAGGGGCTTGTATGGTTTACGGCCTAAGGGTTTAAGGGTTTAAGGGCTTAAAGGGCTTAGGACTTAGGGTCTAAGGGTTTAAGGGCTTAAAGGCTTTAGGGGCTTGTAGCTTCAGGGGTTTAGGACTAGGGGTTTAGGGTTTATGGGATTTCAGGATTTAGGGCTTGTCGGGCTGAGGCTTGGGATCCATAAATGTTCTACAAGAGTTTTCTAAACCTTCTTTTGGGGTGTAGGGTCGAGGGTTGGGAGTGTAGGGCTTAGGGTTGTAGGGTTTGTGGCTTCCGGTTTAGGGTGCAGGGTCGAGAGGTTAGCGTCTAAGCGATCTATGAGGCTTTCTATGAGGCTTTCTATTAAGGCTGCTTAGGGGTGTCGGGTCTTCGATCTAAGGATGTAGGGTCTAGGGTTTCTAGGCTTTCAGGGTCCCGCCTTTTGGGGTTGAGGGTTCAGGGCGTTTTTTTTTGGGTGTCCACGGGAGTTCGATGATGTGAAACCTTGGGGTTGAAAGGCTCAACTCTCAGGGGGGTTTAAGGGCCCATGAAGGGCTTGGGGGCTGTAGAAAATAAATAGGGTTCAAGGGTGTGTGAGCTTTAGGGTTTAAGGGTTTGGCGGCTTTAGGGTTTAGGGTTTAAGGGCTTGGGGGCTTTAGGGTTTAGGGTGTTAGGGTTTGGGGGGGTTCAGGGTTTAAGGGTTTGGGGGCTTTAGGGTTTAGGGTTTAGCGTTTAAGGGTTTGGGAGCTGGTGTTTTTGAGAGCCCAATGAGGCAAGAAGCTGGCATTATGGCGGCGACTGTAAAGGCTTTTTGGTTTAGGATTGCAGTGAAGGTGTGGACTTTATGCACAAGAAAGACAACTCACAGAACCAAGACGAACCCTAAACCCTAGTAGCGAGGCAGCCATCCATGGCAGCCTCACTACTTCGGGTTTAGGGTTTGGGGTGTAGCTCAGACGTCCGAGCACATAGGTGCAAAGACTTGATTCTGCTACCTTAGGGCCCTCTCTAACAGAGGGGACCCCTCAGTCCCTGACCCCGAAACCTCAATCTCAACTCCTCTCAACCCCTCTGCCCCAGTGTAGACATCAATAGTCCTAACTGTGTAGTTCCCTCAACCCTAAACCCTAAACAATAAACCCTAAACCCTAAGCACTAAACCCTAAAACCTTAAACCCTAAACCCTAAGCACCCCTACTTACGAAGTCCTGCCGCAAGTGAACCGGGCTATGGGACACTCCCGAGTTGTCGGGCTGAAATAGTCGGGCCGCCACCCGGCAGTCTCTCTGACCTGACATCCAAAAGCAAAACTCCACAACACTGCGACCTCCTCGAAAAAGCATTGGCATGAATGCCCCGCACTCCAGGCTCGACAGTGTCAAACCCTGACCCCCCCCCCAAAAAAAAAACAAAAAAAAAACTCTTAACCTCTCTACTCTAAACCCTAAACCTCCAAACCCTCAACCTCTCCACCCTAAACACTAAACCTCTCTACCCTAAGCCTTAACCCTCTACACCCTAAACCTCTCTACCCTAAACCCTAAACCCCCAACCTTGACAGTGCGGCGCGGGGTGCTGTTGAGTAGGTGTCCGTCTCCTCGTCGCACTCACAGGTACCAGTTGTGTCCATGCAACAGCGGTCACAGACACTGGCCGTGGTCCCCGTGAAGTACCTGAATGGGGTTTAGGGTTTAGGGTATAAACCTTACACCCACAATCCGAAGCTGGAGTGCTTAGGGGCTTAAAGGCTTTGGGGCTTGCAGGTTTGAAGGTCTAGGGCTGGTTAGGCTTAAGGTTCGTCTGTGGATTTTCGGGTTTTGCGCGGTTGACTGTTTAGGGCTCAGGGTTTAGGGTTTAGGGCTTGAGCCTTAAACCCTAAACCTCGACCCAAGCTTTCAGGCACACACTCAGCCGACTAATAGCCTCAACCCGAGCTGTCAAAACTGTGCAAATCCTTTAGGTACTCAGCGCAATCCAAAAGTCTTTCATAAATCCGAGGTTCCCGAAGTGCCAATGCAATTGTTGATGCTTCCATGTTCATGATTCTTAGTAGCCGCCGTCGCGAAAGCCAGACAGCTATCACCAGATGGCGTTGGCCCTTCACTTTACATGGCTGCGAGAACCCTAGAAAGAGCAATACTGCCAATATTCTCTGAAAACAAAGCCCTAAACCCCAAACCCAACGCCCTAAACCCTAAACCCTAAACCCTACGCCCGAAGCCCTAAACCCTAAACCCTAAAGCCCGAAGCCAACACTTCGAGCAAACCAAACCAAACCAAACCAGCCCTGATACTGCAACCTAAATCTACAGAACCATGCAATGCCCTGCAGCTAAGAACCCTGCAGTAGCGTAGTTCTCTAAATTAGGGCCCCCTTTAGGGTTCTAGTTGTGTAAGGTTGCCATACTAGATCAGGGGACCTAAAACGGGACCCTGATTTAGAGAACTGCCCATTAAATCTTGGATCGGAGCACTCTTTCTCGATGCACGGGTTGCCCTTCGCCATGTGGCTCTCACTGCCGAAGCGCTCGCTTGTCCTGACTTAAGATTTAGGGTTTAGGTCTCTGCTGGTGTTTGACTGATCCCTTGGTAATTCTGCTATCAGTGAGTCCTCGTAGTGGCAGCTGTAGAAATACTAGGAGGAGGAGCGGAGGAGGGATGCAATGGCATTGTCACATCTCTCGTCGTCGCACCGACAACCGCACACCCCTGTGGACATCAACGCAACTGTTGTCGCCGTGACTACACACCCAAGTGGACATCAATGCAACCGAGGACTATTACCATAAAACTCAGAAAACAACATAACCCTACAATTCTTTGGCCCTAAAGCTCAACACCCTAAACCTTTACAAACGGTCCAGTGGGCAATGGGCCAGTTGGCGAAGAGGCCGTTGGTCACCTCGCGACTGTCACGACCGGATTCGGGCTTGGTTACAACTTAGAGCTGTCTCAGAGCTCGGAGCTTAAAGGTTTCGCGGTTGTGAGTTGAGGGCTTCGTGGTTTAACAGCTTGGGAATTTAGGGTTTGAAAGTTTGGAAGAGTTTGTCGCTAATTAGCCATCCACGCTTTGCATGTATCAGGGATTCGGGGATGGAACCGGGCGTGTTGGAGCAAACCCTGCAAGTCTAAAGCCCTAAACCCAAAACAGGCCCGAAACACTCAACCCCAAACCCAAAACCCCAAACCCTAAACTCTAAAACCCTAAACCCTAAACCCTAGAAGCCCTAAACCCTGAAACCCTAAACCCTAAACCCGAACCCCCAAACCCCAAACCCTACAAACTCTAAAACCCTGAAGCCTAAAACCCTAAACCCTATAAACCCCTAAATGCCCAAACGCCCAGCCGAGGCTTCTCGGACCGGACATCTCCGGAGCCCTCGAAGCCAGGGCTTCGGCTGCCAGAACCCCGCCGCGAAAAAAGGACCAGAACGGTTTAGGGTCTGGAATTGTAGGGTTTAGGGTTTAGGGCTTAGGGGGCTTAGGGGTTTAGGGGTTTTGGGTGTTTTAAAGTCTCCTACATCATCCTACTGATCCAAAGCCCTCTTCAATCTTAGCTACTCGAGCCGCAGCTACTCGAACCCCACCTTTGCTAGGTATCCTTCGCTTGCTTGGCTACACCAGGACTCCAAAAGTGAAGCAGGCCTCAGCCTCGAACCTCTGTTCCCTTAAAACCCATCCAGGCGAAAGCTAACCCTAAAAGAGGAGGCTTTAACAAATAGGATAGTTTGGGGTTCAGGGTTTAGGGTTGGATGGGGTCCAATGAGGGGTATATCATAGTATGACTATGCGGGGATCCTGCTGATACGAGCACGATTGTTCAAATTGAGACCTCTATAGCAACCCTCCGCAGCGCTTTCTGCCTGATAGTTGGCCATGCCCATGTTGCCGTAGTAGTCACCGAAGTAGTTGTTGGTGAAGATTCCCCTCGGTTGCGGGAAAGCCTAAACCCTAAACCCTCGGTTTCGTCCAAGAGAAATCACAACCCTAAACCCTAAACCCTCGGTTTCGACCAACAGCAGCTTCAACAGCCCGGTTTTAATCCTGTAGGGCAGTTCGTCAGGGCTCCCTGAAACGTGTAACTACACTGAACTTGTACTACACACCAGAGTGGCAGGGCTCTCTACTGGCCTTCGCAAGGATTAGATAACCCTTTCCTCTAAACCCTATTATAAACCCTAAACCTTAAACCCTAAACCCTGACCTACGATGAATCTGATCTCTCCCTCGAGGTCAACCTCGTCTGGGTAGGCCGCGTGTATGGGAAGTCCCCAACAAGCCCCGTTCACCGAGCCAGGCAAGCCAACACAAAAAAAAGCAGGCCTCTATTCAGGGGTTTGGGATTAGGAAATTCGGGCTTTTGCGTACAGAGCCATGGTGCTTGATAGGGTCCATTTCATACTTGCCGCCCTGCGCGTCGTAGGCCATGTTCCAGTATGGCATGGCCTTGCAGTGTTTGGGGCTTCACGCAAAGTATGGAACCTGCACTCGTTTGTTTGGGCTTGCTTAAATCCTTAACAGGAACAATCACAAGACGAAACACAAGGCAAGAGTGCAAAACATGCTGTTCAACTGAGTTCAACTACTGAAATGCAAGCATCTCTTCATGCTTCACATCAAATCCGCCCCATGGGCGGTCTCAAGGCTCCATGAACTGGTGGCGCAGGAATGGAAAAATCCAAGCGAGTCAACCACCGGAGACGGCTGGCGAGTATGTATCGATCTCCGGCTGGCATTTGGTTCTCTCAAACAACAGCTTTGCTCTTCTTGGACGTGCTTCGTCGCGCGCATCTGAGGTCAAACAATTACACGCACTTGCTTCGCTTGTCCGCGTGTTATGACGAATACCCGAAATACTGGAACGGATACCCCATATAACAAAGCAAGACTCTGAAATACCAGTCGCACGAAAAACCCTAAACTAAGACACGCAAAGACCGGGTTAAACGACGCATTAACTGTCGTACAATGCCTCGCGAAAAACAGCGAAAGACACCTGTCAATGCCCTCCGCTAGAAAGCACTGTGACAGTCAACAAAAACTTTAACCCTCATGCATACCCTAAACCCTTAAACCCTCAACCCTAAACCCTGGAACTCAAAACCTTGATTCCTGCGCCCTCGACCATCCCTAAGCGGAACCCTGGAATCCATAGCTTTCCCCTTTCAAGGAAACCTACTGGTAGTCTAGAACCCTGGAAAGGAAAGCCCGCAAAACAAGCCTAGAGGAAACCCTCAACCCTGAACCTTAGAGGCTAAACCCAAAACCCTAAACCCTAAACCCTCAACCCCAAACCCTAAACCCCTAAACCCTAAAATCCCTAAAAACCCCCTAAACACCCCAAAAAACCCTAAAGACCCTAAAAAACCTGAAGCCTAAACTCCTTAAACGAGAACTTGAAGGGAAGCCCCCTGAAATTTCTGCTCCGGGCTCTTGGAGCCTCGATCGAGGGATCCACTGCAAGCAGGGCCAACTCGTACCTAGGGTTGGGTTTAGGGTTTAGGGTTTGGGGTTTTAGGATTTAGGGTACAAGTAGTAGAGAGTATACCATAATTCCCGTAGTTTAGGGTCCTTAAGGTAATGCAGGATTTAAACATCATCAAGAGTAGGGCTGCGTAGGGCTTCCCATGGGCGCTCTTTGGGTGTCTTCAGGGTGTTTTAGTGTTTTTAGGGCTCTTGGGGTTTAGGGCTTTAGGGTTTTGGGTAAGTTCAGGGTTTAGGGTTGAAGTTTTAAGGGGCTTTGGGTTCTGGAGTAGGGGCCTTGTAATTGTAAGGCGGTTCTAGCGCCCCTGTAAGCTTGGAATTTTTGCTCCGATTTTCTATAGGGCACATGTTGCCTCTAAAGGACATGACAAAGGGCTCATGAGGTTAAAGGGTACGCTATGGAGGTTAGACGCTTTGCATTAGGGCTATATGGGATTTACAGGGTTTTTCGGACCGGTCCTCTGGCGTGTGCGCGGTTTAGGGCTTTGGGGCTTTAAGGTGTGTAGGGTCTTCGGTGTGGGCCTCCTGCTCCTCCTCCTCCTGCTCCTTGGGAGATACGGTTTACGGTTAAAGGTTGAGGGTGTAGGGTTTGCGGTTTAGGGCTTAGGGGTTTAGGGTTTAGGGATAGGGTATTCCCTGCACAGATTCATCTCGATGCCCCGGATATCTTGGAGTCCGCTCCGCTCGCCGATGTACGGTTTCAGCAGGGGTGGAGGGAAAGGAGGGGGCAGCGACTAGCCCTGCTACCACCCGAAACTGCAAAACCTCAAACCCTAACCGCCAAAATTCGATAACCCCACTCTGAAAACCGAAAAAAAATGCAAAGATCCTTCTAAACCAACAACTTCAAAGCCACCGAGGCCCTAAACTCCGAAACCCGAAACTTGCTTTGGGGTTTTCGGGTTTTCGGGCTCAGGCGCTTACACCCCGAACCCTACACCCCTAAATCCTGAAGCCTAGGCCAAGGCACTTCAGCAGCAAAGCGCGATGGAAGGTCATGAACTGGGGGCCAAAGTGCCCCTGGTCGCCTTGCTGTTTGGAGGTTTTTCGGGGCCTCCTTTTAAGAGCCCTGAACTCTGAGCCCTTCAACGGCGCTCCTTGAAGAAACCTGAACCCCCTTTTAGGGGCTTTAGGGTTTAGGGTTTAGGGGTTTAGGGTTTAGGCCCTGAACCCTTAAATTCATTACTTGCGGCAGCTCTAAGGCGCAGAGGCTCTGAGCCGCAAGTGAGGGCTTCTTAGCAAGAGGGCTGCTCTCTTGGGGGTATCCATTTAAACAAGGGCCTTACGATTTAGGGTCTGGATTCGGGTCGCCGACTTTCTGCAAGCCGGGCTTAGGCCCTGGCATCGGGGGTCTGTAGTGGCGCACGAGTGAAGCATCAGCATGTCCTCGGCCCCGAAGATGAGTGGTAAGCTATGGGCCTTACGGATTAACATAGGGCGGCTCTTGGGGCTCCTGCAAGGGATCCTCTTAAGGGGCTCTACAAAGGTCATCATGAGAGCTCTATGATGTAGGGGCCTTAATAATCTGAATCGGGTTCCGGGCTCCTTCTATAGTGTAAGTATAGTAAGGAACCCTAAGGAATCATCTTGGCAGTTACTTTGGGCCCCTATAGTGAGGTCATAGCTTCAAGCCTTAGGGTGGCTGGAGGCCTGAAGGGTACACTCAAAAAAAAAAGCAGAGGATGCTGGCGTCACGTCCAGGGCTCGTGAGGTTTACTGCTCAAGCGGTCCCTGAACCCTACACCCTGAACCCTGAACCCTGAACCCGAAACCCTAAACCCTGAACCCTAAGCCCTAAACCCTGAACCTAAACCCTCAACCCTGAACCCTAAACCCAAAGCCCTCATGAGCTTTCATTGGGCTCTAAGTGTTCAGCCTTCAGGGCCTTAGGGCTCAGGGCTTAGCCAGACCCCAAAGAACCCACTTTTTAAAGGACCTATATAAGGAAATCATAATAAGGAACCCTAAATTGGGGGGCTCTTAAGCGTCCAGGTAGGGCTAGGTGGCCGTGGAAACGCAAAGCTCGGCCCTGCACTCGAAACGCCTTGCCAGCGAAGTCTCGTCGCGGCTATGGAAGTTAAACCCTACACCCTAAATAGGGTTTAGGGTTTAGGGCTTTAGGGCTTAGGGTTTCGGCTTTAGGGCCCTAAACCCTAAACCCTAAACCCTAAACCCAGAACCCTAAACCCTAAACCTTTTAGGGCTTAGGG